CATCAAACACATAGGGTTTGTTAACCACTTAATGATATATGTTTACTTCAACAGAATGGATGTAAACAAAAACGTAAATATCAACACTAGAGGGCACAAACCATCAAACACATAGGGTTTGTTAACCACTTAATGATATATGTTTACTTCAACAGAATGGATGTAAACAAAAACGTAAATATCAACACTAGAGGGCACAAACCATCAAACACATAGGGTTTGTTAACCACTTAATGATATATGTTTACTTCAACAGAATGGATGTAAACAAAACATATAGATTTTCAGGTTTTCATTTTTTTCAGTTTTAAATTTACATGTTAGCAAACGGCACCCTTAACACACTTATTGATTCTGAATGAGCCAATATGTACCTCTAAGGAACAATGTAACCTTAATTTTTTGAACCAGTTAGGAATGTCACTTCGTTTTTAAAAAAAAGACAGAGACTGACCTGCACCAAATATAAAGTAAAGTACGTATGGAGCCACATAATTTCTTCCATCACAAGCTGAGTTATAGCGACTGTAAATGCTGCAATGAAACACCACATACACACTATTATTATTATAGTGACTGTAAATGATGCAATGAAATACCACATACACACTTATTATAGTGACTTTAAATGATGCAATGAAATACCACATACACACTATTATTATAGTGACTGTAAATGATGCATTGAAAACACCACATACACACTATTATTATAGTGACTGTAAATGCTGCAATGAAACACCACATACACACTATTATTATAGTGACAGTAAATGCTGCAATGAAACACCACATACACACTATTATTATAGTGACTGTAAATGCTGCAATGAAATACCACATACACACTATTATTATAGTGACTGTAAATGCTGTAATGAAATACCACATACACACTATTATTATTATAGTGACTGTAAATGATGCAATGAAATACCACATACACACTTATTATAGTGACTTTAAATGATGCAATGAAATACCACATACACACTATTATTATAGTGACTGTAAATGCTGCAATGAAACACCACATACACACTATTATTATTATAGTGACTGTAAATGATGCAATGAAATACCACATACACACTTATTATAGTGACTTTAAATGATGCAATGAAATACCACATACACACTATTATTATAGTGACTGTAAATGATGCAATGAAAACACCACATACACACTATTATTATAGTGACTGTAAATGCTGCAATGAAACACCACATACACACTATTATTATAGTGACAGTAAATGCTGCAATGAAACACCACATACACACTATTATTATAGTGACTGTAAATGATGCAATGAAACACCACATACACACTATTATTATAGTGACTGTAAATGATGCAATGAAACACCACATACACACTATTATTATAGCGACTGTAAATGCTGCAAAGAAACACCACATACACACTATTATTACAGTGACTGTAAATGCTGTAATGAAATACCACATACACACTATTATTATAGTGACTGTAAATGATGCAATGAAATACCACATATACA